GTTAACTTGTTACTTCCAAGAGATATGTTTCTAAAGACCTAGATTTGTGTTCAAATAGGAGAATTTTTGATAAGGTGTCTTGCATATAGTCTCATATAATTATAATACCAAGCACAAATAGCTCAATAAAGTCTACTTACAATCTCTCATTTTGTTCTCCGGGAAGCCATTTCTTCTTAATTCGCGCACCAGCTCACATCTCGACAACTGTTTGGCTTCACAATGAAGGAACAACCCTAGAGCACATAGAAGTAAAGCCCACTTCATATTGATTATTTTAGAAAACTTCAAGTCTACAGGAGAAACCGATCTGTTTCGTAGACTGCTTGTGTATGCTGTCTACAGCAATTAATTACACTTAAATACTCGTACATCCCAGGTATGGTTTTAGGTGAAGGAACTCTGCTGATTGCGGTCGATCAGTGTCTGGGAATCCCTTTATGCTATCAAACTCATAAACTATGATTAATTAAATACAATGCAAAAGAAAAATAATGATTACGAAAGTGGCTTACACTTGAGAAAATCTTCTCCTTAATGATGACATATTTACACCTATAAATTATTATCTATAAACGTTATAGCTGAAAATAACGTAAAGGCTATGCAAAGATATCCATTACCCCATATCGTCCCGATCCCGTGGGTGTTGTAAGAAGCAACCACGGAGTACCTTTGTATAACTTGAAGCAACAATGGGAAACCGAAACGGAGATGGACAGAAACATCTTCGTGATAACACTCAAAATAATACAAATAGCGTGTCAATGTGCTCTGACAATAACTGCTCTATGTAGTAATCCATAGGGGATAGGGCTTTTGTTTGGCTTTTATCAAATTTATTTCAAATATAGGAATTTTTGTGTTATTGTGTTCCGAATTTTGTGATTTAGTCATTTGTTTTCGCGCCATTTGATTATTCTTTGACATTGTTCTGTTTCACAATATGGAAAACGTAAAATATCGTGTTACTTACGAATACAAGTTTCCACCGTGGCACCAGCGCTGCAAAAACATCTCGAAGGATTAATGATGTGTATGGGGAAGCTACTGTAAAAAACACATGATACGCTTTTGTTTCCAATGTTTTGTTCTGGAAATTATGACTTTTGATTTGAGAATAATAGTAATGGTCCATTCACTTCATTCTTTTCCATCCTATTTAATTCTAGTACATTCCATTTCATTAATATTGTATTATATTCCATTCTATTCCATGCTATATCAGCAATAAATATCAGCTTAATGCGTATGGTGAGTGAGTGTAGAGAACCATAGACTCATTTTACTGGTAACGAAGCATTCCATCCTAGTCATCAGGAATGACAACACATCTGCATAAAACGGCGGTTTGTATATTGTAATCAAATGGTACGAGGTATGGAGTGTAGAAGCAAGGAGTACAAACGGTGTATTAAAAAGTTTCCATAGAAAACTGTTAAATAAGGTGGCGCCACTATATAGCTACGGGGTAAATTTTAAAGAACGCACCGAAAAATATTAGTGGGATAGACGACTATTTCGAGGATATATTTACTAAATAAAATTATTTTAGATTTTAAAGCTACTGAGCAGTTTAGCAGCACACTTAAACCGTCGACAACTGCTAAGTTCAGTTCATCCCAGTAGCTACTCCAGCGCTATTGTGGAGAGTTTTTGATAGTTTTTGAACTGTTATTTACTACTTACAGGTGACCACTTTTTCAACTGTTCTATTATGTGAGTTGGTACTCCTTATTTCTACACTCCATAGTACGAGGTTTAAGTTGTTTAGGCTGGTTTCTTCTTGTTCAAACAAAAAAGGCTACGACTACGTTTTCACTTGTGAAGACTAATGTTCCCACAGCTATTTATATTATTTATTCTGGCTGTAGGTTTCTAAGTTTAGGTGTATATTCATAACGATAAAAAAGCAGCCTGGCAGACTTTTTACTTTACAATATTAGCCGAGGCTACGGACAGGTGGCTAAATAACATTTTTTTAAAGGAACTTTACCCCGATACTAGGATTTACAGTAATCAAACACCTTACTACTAAATATGAAAAGGAGAAAGCTGAGGGAGTGAAATAACTCACAAGATTTCAAAACAACTTTAACTTGTAAGTTGTCTCATCAATTACTTTTTTAAACTTTGACTAGCATTTTCTCCTCGTAGAGTTCACATACATAAATTGCACACGGGAACACATCCAGAGCAATTATTTGTAGGTCACACAAGTAGTTGTACCGTGCGGGCACAATTGCGCATTTATGCCAGATGCAAATTTCCTGACTGGCAAAGTATAGCAACTTTGAGACGTATAATAGACGATTGAGACTGAGTTCGCCAATCCGCCAGACAAGCGTGGCGTTTATTTAAGTATTTATTTTTATTTATCTTTATATACTGTGATTCTACTGATGGGAATATTGTTCAATATTCCCATCAGTAGAACCAATTTAGGCAAGTTTTCTCTTAAAAAGCCATAGATGTATCGATACTTACACAGCTTAAACAATCATAATCGACATCTTTACACCCCGAACGTTATTTAAAAGAAAATTAAAGACTTAATTTAACTGCCTTGCCAGATTAATGATTCAAAATTATTATTTATGTAATTATTACTGGATTCGGTGCTTTTGCTTTGATTGTTTAGTTTAATTTCTTTTTGTTTTAGAGTTTATATGTTGTTTAGTTTTTTTTCTCTTATAATGTATACGCCGGTAAAGACATATCCTTTATCTAAAAATGTAGTATTTTCGATTTTGTCGATGATGTATCTATTTAAATAAATAAATATACACATAACGTTATACCTCCCTCCTATGTGAGGACAAAGAAGAAGAATGGAAAAGCCATAAATTATCAATACTCACACACTTAAAATATATATATTTACAAAGAAATAAAATTACATTTTCATAAAGTGCTTCAATTTTAACAACATAAAATTACTTTAAATACGTGTGCATGCTAGGATTAAATGTAGGTCGTAGCACAAAAAACGTATGAAAACCATAATATTTATTCTATACATATTCTATATATATAGAACATGTTTATATATTCTATACATATTTATTCTATACATATGAAAACCATTATAATTATTCTACCTATTATCGACTATGCCGATGTATGTTACCCAGATCTGTCAGAAAATCTTCTAAACAAGTTGGAGCGCCTTCTTAATAATTCCATGTTTATTTTTGGTTTACGTAAGTATGACCACATATCATCCTATCGTTCAAAGCTTAGAATTTTACTTGTACTTTATTCAATTTTAAACGATCCAAGGTCGCGTTCTTATCTTAAGGATAATTTTCATTTTTTTCATCCGATCGACGGTCGAACATCCCGACAGTCAAACCGTCTGAGGTTAGGGTTTCCACAGCATAAGTCAAATTTTTTTAGGACGTCTTTTACGATACAAGCTATACAACTTTGGAACACCCTCCCCAACGATATTAAGAATGCCACAAATAAAAAAGTTTTCAAAGTTCTTCTCCGAGAAACTATATGTGTGTATATTTAAATGTAATGTGTATGTATGTAATTTGTATATATGTATATTTTAATGTATAAGCACTTATTTACGTATAATGGCCTGCCAACAATTGTCCTTGGCACCCAGGGTTGACTGGCAGAGAATGCCATATGCTTAAGGTGTTACATGTAAGTTTTTAAATAAAATAAATAAATAAAATAAAATAAATATTTTAAAAGCGGCTCCAGAATACATATCAAGCCATCAGGAAAGAAACTCGCTGAATACACACAGGTGGTAAAATAAAAAAAGATGTACAACCGTCTTCAATATGAATAAAATAATAACATCATCAATGTAGCCGAAGTCAATTAAATACGCATTATTAAGGATAACTCATAAACTAAGGGTCAGATCTTGATCAAAATTATATGGGACCTCGTGAAAAGATCCAGCTTTTAAATAAAAATAGAATCATCAAAATCGACTCATCTAGAAAAAAGTTCTGAGGTAACACACATAAAAAATACAGTCGAATTGAGGAACTCTTCTTTTTTTTTGTAGACGGTTGAAAATCGTTAGTCTTCCCTAGAATCATATTATATAAGGTCACTGCCCTCTTTAATTTTGTAGCACACAATTTTATCTTCCGTATTGATAAAAAATGTTTATTAAGAGGCCACTTAATCTGATAACAATAAGGGATTCCCGCGCACTATTATGTTAAGGGGAAATATAATCTCAAATTAGCAAGATCCTTCGTTATACAGAAAATATTGCAGCATTTATTTTGAAATAAATATATGGTAAAGTTGAGGATTAATGTTAAGGATTATGTTAGACGAAAACACGATTTCGTAAAATTTTCTCGATAGAAAAAAAAATCCAAAGTTACCTTCAAAATAAACAATAAACCGCTGTTATTCATAAAATACTTTAAATAAGATCATGAAACTTTGCATACTAACTGAACTAACTATAAAGTAGTGCTTATGTTATTTACTTTTTTTAAAATACCATTATTTTCACTGTAAAAAGAAATTACCTAAACTATCGTCCTTTTGAAGCGTGATTCCAGCCGCACGGTCACTTCGCTTCGGCCTTTGAACGGGGAGGTTGTGTCGCTTACGATCAGAATATACATTACGCAACAGGACGACGTAAAATTAAAATTCGAAATAACCGTAATAAAAATAAGAAGCGACTGGCTTGACGTTAAGAAACAGGCATAAATATGATAAACCTAATGAAATAAGTGTCTAACGACCTTTCTACTTACAGTATTAGTGATTACAAACATGTCGGTACATAGCATACGACGCGCGAGGAAGTGGGGGGTGAAAGTAGCATTTGAGCTGACTTACTCTATCCCCTTAACTATAGCGCAATCGTGACTATTTACAAACGACGATACAGAGTTTCAGTATTTAAGCGCCTTTTAGTTTTGCATCGACAGTGTACAGTTTAAAGTCTTCTAACAGAAGAACTACTGCCACAGGCTCATAAACCTATAATTTTCTAACACAATATGAAAGTGTTAATAGTTCTCTTCGCTCTAGGAGTGCTGCTGCAGTGTGAAGCAAAGCAACTGTCAAGATGTGAGCTGGTGAGGGAACTAAGAAAACATGGCTTCCCGGAGGAACAAAATGAGAGATTGTAAGTAACAAAGCTTTACTACCCATTTATGTACAAGTAATGGACAAGTTGGCACAGTCTGCATGTAGTAAAGTTAAAAAGTTAAAGTTACAGCCTACACAAGTCCCACCGCCTCGTACAGGCCTCGTCCTCTTACATCTGAAAGAGTTTTAGGAAAAACAGCTGTCCGCCGCGCTGCCCCAATGCATGTTGGAGAACTTCATGTGTCCTCGAAATAATTTTTTTATATTTCTCAGACATGCAGGTTTGCTCATGACGTTTTCCTTCACCGCCCAGCACCTGGTAAATCAACACTTAAAATTGCAATTAACAATTTGATTAGTGCCAGCAGGGATCGAACCCAGTTTGTTCGCGTACTGTGAAAATTACAGAGAGCGCGCACCGTCTGAGGTAGCTACCACGGCTCTTTTTTTTTGCAGGCATAATATTATGCACTGCGCTACCACGTTTATGTGTCAATACAAATGCTCAAATATAACACGACAGTTGTATGTTACATTCCTTATAATTGGTCAATTTACGTTGTAAACTATTAAGGATGTCTGTAATTTTCACGTGATAGCACCATGCTGAGTCCAAGCACAAAAGGACCACGCTGTCACAGAAAAACAGCGTAAACTAGCAGCTTAATGCTACTATGTTTTGTATTGTGAGTGTAGGGAACCGGAGACCCTTTTTACTGGAAACGGGATACTCCATCTTAGTCCTCAAAGGTGACAACGTATTTGCATTTTGTGTCTTACTCCACTCACCATCAAGTGCAATGTATGCTAAAGCAGCAAGAGTGAAAAGGTTTTTCCTGAGTCATTGTGTTTACCAACTTCGGATACATCACCAATAACCATCAGGTGGGATAAAAGTAACGTTGATTAGTTTAACAAGTGACAAGAACTACAGACGGTTTTGTATTGCTAGACATTTAATGTTAGTTCTTAATTTTATCAAGTGGTCTGTACGCTCTACTGCGACACTTACTTGAATAAAATATTTAATTATTTTAAATCAAAATCAAAAATAAAAATCAAAAAAGCAGGAATACGGCAGTGTCATCCCCGTGCCTCCGCAAGCAGATGAATTTGTTGTTTATGTGCCTGATCACTCTCAGGTCAAGGCTGATTGCCGCCCCATCGGACTATGAGAGTAAAGGGATTAGAGAGTGCACATATGCTTGCGCATACCCTCGAGCTTCAAAACTCAGTCCTTTGTAAAATTCAGTCGGTTATGATTGGCCACCGTGACGGAAATTTGGTTTGGAATACGTTTTGTTGGTGTCAAATTTTTATTTATTATGTGTCGAAATTAGTGATATACTAACAGATATTAAACTAACAATTTTATAGGTGTAATAAATTGAAGTAGACAAATTTAATTTAATTAACAATTGTTCTGGTCTAAAGTGCACATGTAACTTAACGCTATAAACTTACGCCGTGATTGATACTGAAGATAAAACTCTAAAAAAAACTGACTTTTCCATAGCCAAAAAGAACGGAGCGGCTAAGTAAGCAATTAGTAGATTTAAAAAAAATACATTTGACAAACATAATTTTATTTTTTCACGTCGAAGAAATAAAATTTACTTCATTTCATGTATCATTCATACCATCATCATCATTATTGCAGCTTTTCACAAGTCTACTACTAAACATAGGCCCCCAAGGAATCTAATAAAACAAGGTTCTAAGCCACCTGCATCCATCGACTTCCTGCATCTCTTACCAGGCTGTGATTTCATTTCTATAACTTGCATTGACATCAGGTTTCAGGCCTACTTTAAGACGATTTACATAATTTTTAAGTTCAACAGTGCAAAGGTGATGTTGAAACGGTTGTAAAGCAAATGCATTTAACATTCACCCTATTTCCTATTTAGGGGTGTGTCTAGTGGAGAATGAAAGTTCTCGTCGCACTGACATCGTCAGTGGTCCGAACAGCGACGGCTCCCGGGACTACGGGCTGTTCCAGATCAACGACAGATATTGGTGCAGCAGCACTAGCCAGCCTGGCAAGGACTGCAACGTCACCTGTAAACGTATGTTGATTTTATCCAGACGTCTAAGTAATGCAGTAGCTGACTAATTAATTGTGGTGCTAAAGGCTGTGGGTTCGAATCCCATATGGAACGAATATTTGTATAACCAACAAGTCATTGTTCCAGATCTGGATTTATGTTTTGAAATTGTTTCTACAATATTTGAGAAAAAACACTAGGTTTGGGTAACATATTTGAATAATATTAAAATGAAATGTTTTGTATTTGCATATTAATTATTATTGTTTTATATATATATGAAAAGGTGATAAGCGAGCACACCGTCCACCTGATGGTAAGTGGTTGCTGTGGCCCATAAACATCTACATCTATCCTCGTTTGCGACTCATAATGCAACTATGCGTTGTCAGCCTTGAGGACTAAGATGAAATGCCACTTGTCCAGTAAAAAGGGTCTCCGGTTCTCTACACTCACCATACGAAACACAGCAGCATTAAGCTGCTATTTGACACTGCAATATTGTTTTTAATTATCGCTTCAGAACTTCTGAGTGACAACATATCGAAAGCGGCCGCTTGCGCTAAGAAGATTTACCAGCGCCACGGCTTCGACGCCTGGTACGGTTGGAAGAACAAATGCCGCGGAAAACCATTGCCCGACATCAGCTCCTGTAAAAAGTAGACCAGTTAATATGGTACACTAAACTTATTTCAAATATTTGTAATGATGTTATAGCCATTCAACTAAATTCTACGCTGATTCAATTATAAATAAATATATTTAATCTTACAATGGTTTGTTATTCCATTTTGTGCTAAAGTGAACATTTACTTTGATACCCACGATTCATTATTTTAACCGACTTCCAAAAGGAGGAGGTACTCAATTCGATTCTATTTTGTAATATATGTTACCTCAGAAATTATTTTTATTTGAAAACTGGTGCTTGTCATTTGTTCGCATGTAAATTGGATCAAGAACCGACGAGTAGTTTTTGAGTTATCCTTAATAATGCGTATTTAATTGACTTCGGCTACATTAAAGATGTTCCCATTTTATTTATATTGAAGTCGGTTGTATAAAATTTTAAATTTTACCAATTGTTCATGTATCAGTTCATCAACGACCAGTCGTCAGGCTCGTTTTTTATTCCATTCCTTGGGAGTGCTTGTGTTTAGCAGTGTATTTTTCAATAGCTGTAACGATGAAGATGATAATGATGATATCAATTAACCAAGGATTGCAATCAGAATGCGCTAACTTTTGTTCCAAATGTTGTCCTCGACTGCACACGATTGACAAGGCCAGAACGACCAGCCGGTAGCAGTTAACCTTCGAAAACGTTGATCTCAAATTTCGCAAGTTGGGTGGTAAGCAAAATCTAAAATTATTGCAGAGCCAATCAAAGCTAGTGTTGGACTTTTGGATTGCTGGATTGTTGACTTTCCACGTGTACGAGCATGTAATGCAACGTACAATTGTTAAGTCATCATTTCACAACTTAACCTCTTTTACATATTTCCGCGGCACATGTATTTTAGAATCAGTTCGCCTATAGCCATCAAGAGCGCTACGCGTACTCATTATCAGTAGTTCTAGACTTTTAATTTGTATATTCATTCACAATATATTTTATCCAACTTATCAAGCGTTATCAGTTTATCATCCTCTTAGTGTCGGTACTACCCCGAACATCACGAATGTACCAGCTGTGGAGTTAAAAAGGCTAATGTTATGATAATACGTCAATTAATCACTGAAATTTCACGCAACAGGCGAAAAGAACCGATATCTAAATACATAGTAAAGCTCCGTACTGTCATAAGGAGTGTACTCTTATCCTTCCACAGTCAAACTTCAGATCGCATTACCAGAAGGTCGCAATTTCAATGCTGGTGACACCACTGGTTCTTTTTCATACAAAAAGCGATAACGTTTTTCCGAGTTGTAGATATAATTAAAAACTAGGTCCGTACGTTTTTATTTTAAAGAAAAAAAACTATTGCGTACGATAGAAGTTAAATAACATTAAGTATAAGATGCTAAAAAAACTCATTATCTATATTTTTGATTTAAAACTTCTTCGAGTGTTTTTATTTTTTAAATTAAACAAATTGAGATACTAAAAAATTCAAACGTACAGACCTAGACTAAGTACTAGTGTAATGAATGCCATGCAATGGCTGTAAAGAATATCCACCACCCCATCGATATCTTTATATCGTCTGCTAAAAATGCTACAATTACACACTCCCAACTATTTCCCATACAATTAGATTATCAGACGCGGTGAAGTGGGTAGATAGTTTACATACACGTCGGCCGTGTCGGATATGTTTTGTAGAGAAGGGCAAATGAGCATGCAGCTCACCTGATTACGAGGTGAGACTCTACCGTCGCCAATGGACAACCGCTACATCAGGGGAATTGCAAATGCCTTGCCAACCTTTTAAATAAGAGTAGGCTCTTTCCTCGAAGAGCCGTAATTCGTATCGATCCAGAAAAATCGCTAGTAGTAGTCGATTTCACAAGGAAGTTAAGCGAGAAAATAATAGAATAGAATCATTTTTATTCAATACTAGCGATCCGCGCGCCATCTAGCGTCTACCTAGTATCTATTTTACGTACCAGTTTGAAAGCCAATCAATTTTTGTTCAATAATGTTACTTTACCTTACAATCAAGTAGATGGCGCTATTACAAAGCAATGTTATTAAAAAATATCTTTTAATTTGTTACATTAAAATTAAATCATTTTGTAATATTTATATATATTCCCGTGTATAATAATATATTCCCGTGGGTGTCGTAAAAGGCGACAGAGGGAAACAGGCAGGAGATGGGCAGTAGCATCTTCCTGATAACAGCACCTGTACAACAAAACCCGCGGTTGCCAATCTGCTCGCCAAGCCTGGCAACTATGGCAATATACCCCCCATGAGCAACGACATAAACGAAGTTGTTGAAAAATAGGTTTACATGGGATAAATAGTCCGAACAGGTAAGTCCAACATTGACCGAAAAATTCAACTCGGTTGGTATAGAGATTGTACAACCAGTGCGTGTTGCCAGTGATGACTAATGGATCTGAGACGTGCTTCTTCACTGCCGGCCGCATGAGGACGCTCAAGGTCAGACAGCGAGCTATGGAGAGCTATGGCTATGCTCGGGGTTTCTCTGTGTGTAAAACTTATAAATAAGGATATCTGTAGTAGAACCAGACTGACTGGCATAGCCCAATAGATTAGTTAGCTGAAGTGGCAATGGACCGGACATATAGCTCGAAGAACCGACAACCAATAGGTAAAAAAGGTTCTCGAGTGGCAGCCTCGTACCGGTAGGCGTAGTTAATGGTGATTAGATGGAGTGACGACCTCGTAAGACACGCAGGAAGTCGATGGATGTAGGTGGCTCAGAACCGTGCTTTGTATGCCTTGAGAGGCCTATGTTCAGCAGTGAAATGACACAAAATTGTCTCAATTAGTAAAATTTTATGGGGATTAATATGTTATCGCACTTCACAATTCTCTTAAATTACCAAGCTATAAAATAATTATTAATGAAATGTCTTCTTTATATGCTTCGATCATTTATATACTATTGATCGAAGTTTATATGTAACAAAATACTTCCAAATAAAGAAAAGTCTAAAATAAAAAGTGTAAACTATTTTATTATATATTCGTGGTAGAGTCATGCTGCAGTTGTTTAGTAGTATAGTTGTAGTACGAATGGATCGACTACGGGGGAAGGACCATGCTCTCACAAAATACTAGCGTAAAATAGTAGCTTAATGCTGCTGTGTTTCTTATGGTGAGTGTTGAGAACCGGAGACCCTTTTTACTAGAAATGAGGCATTCTATCTTAGTCCTTACGGGTGACAACGCATCTGCATTTTGATTTTAAATCGAGGACAGATGTAGATGTCTATGGACCATCAGGAAGACTGTGTGCTCGTTTGTCAACCTATCCTATAAAAAAAAGTTTGCTAATTAATGTGATTACCCTTTTGTCAATGTTATGCACGTCGTTGACTCAGCTAGCATTGGTATCCTAGACGTCAATATATCGGATGGCGTTTAGTTCTGCGGTTACTTGAAAGGGAAGCCCAAATTGGCTTCTAGAAGGCTTGGCGTGTTTTGTAGAGCAGGACAGTATTCCATGCCGCCACACCGCTTGCAATTTTATAAGGTGCAAGTTCCACCTCACAGCATGGAATACTATTATCATCTCTCGGCCGTAGCTCCCCTGGGTCAGATCCTTCTTTCCAATCGGCTTAACTCACTGGTGCTGCGAAGATATGTTGCATCGCTTTACATATACTATCGCATCTACAACGGAGAGTGATCAAAGAAATTGTTCGGACTAATTCTATCCGCAAATTTCACCATCGCACATCGCGACAAAACTCGCGATACCATCCATACCACCCAGCGGTCAACCACTTTGCGAATGACTTTAAATGATGAACTTTAAACGATTTCCAATACTTATTCTTGTAATCTGTCTCTATATTTAAAAATACATAATTGCTGTCCGTTAGTCTCGCTAAAGTTAGAAACTGGCTCGACCGATGCTGCTGATGAAATGTTTGTGGGTTTGAGTGGCTCCTGGAATGGTTTAGATTCAGAAATCGGTAGGCGGCGCTATTGTCGCGGTCCAGGATCGCTAGTATAATATAAAAGTTTAATTGTATATCAAATAAATATTACAAAATGATTTAATTTTAATGTAATAAATTAAAAGATATTTTTAATAACATTGCTTTGTAATAGCGCCATCTACTTGATTGTACGGTAAAGTAATATTAATGAACAAAAATTGATTGGCTTTCAAGCTGGTACGTAAAATAGACACTAGGTAGACGCTAGATGGCGCGCGGATCGCCATTATTGAATAAAAATTATTCTATTCTATTATTTTCTCGCTTAACTTCCTTGTGAAATCGACTACTACCATCGATTTTTCTGGATCGATACGAATTACGGCTCTTCGAGGAAAGAGCCTACTCTTATTTAAAAGGCCGGCAAGGCATTTGCAATTCCCCTGATGTAGCGGTTGTTCATTGGCGGCGGTAGAGTCTCACCTCGTAATCAGGTGAGCTGCATGCTCATTTGCCCTTCTCTACAAAACATATCCGACACGGCCGACGTGTATGTAAACTATCTACCCACTTCACCGCGTCTGATAATCTAATTGTATGGGAAATAGTTGGGAGTGTGTAATTGTAGCATTTTAGCAGATGATATATAAATGTTTTATGATATACTGATGACCCTCAGAACTTTGGTTACAGCGGTCTGTCTCTACGGAAACTAGCCATCTGCGCTAGACAGGGTTATATTGTGTGCGCGAGCACAGCTGCACTCTCTATAAATTCTAATCTAATCTTATTTAGATGTATGTAGATGAAGGATGTACTCCTATGTAACTAACTTAGCAAGCAGACTTCCTGCCGATTAGCTAGCTGACATTGAAACTATATTTTTCTGCAAAAGAGGAAAAAATTGAAATTGTGAAGAATCCCTTACAGAAAAGTATAATGAAATAAATATACTAACGTAAGTCCCGCAAAACGTTTATATAAATGTAATAATATGCACATTAAAACAAAAATAACTCTGATGCAAAGAAAGATATTCATATGTCGGTATGTATTGCACGTGCAGCAACGCCTCGGTG